TCCCTTTTTTCTTTTCTTTTTTCTTCTTGATCTAAACTGGCAGGCCCCCTGTGCGGGTTCCTCCCGGCCGTTTGGATCCCTCGATGTCCTTTTGTATCCCATTGTCTGCCTGTCCGTCCTCTCCGACCCTCTCGCCCGCCACGCGACCTACCCAGCCGCCCGCCTGGTCACGCAACCCTCCATGTCACAATTTGTGCTGCGTCATTGCATTGGATCCCATTACGTGACAGCTCCCGCTCAGCCGCGATGACTCAAGACGAGCGGCAAGCCCGTGGTTCTAGACTCCATCCAGTCGAGCCCCGATTTTCTGCGACCGAGTTTTCCTCTCGCTTCTTTCTCGTGGGTGCACATGGACGTCTGGCGCGGGCCGCTTCTGGCCAAGCTCAGCGCCATGGTCCCACCAACAAACTCTCCGTTCCCAGCAGCCAACAGGGACATGCATTGGAGACAATTCTATTCATGTTTTGGAGGAGGGGCCCTCATGTCACAGGCGCATGGGTGAAGAAAAAAAGTCCACGCGGCACCGGGGAGGGGCGCCTAACCAGCGTCGACCTTGAAAAACTGAGCAGGCAGACTTGGTCATCATCCAAGACAGCTTTTCTCCGATTCGTCACAGCTACCACACGCCCAGCTTTCGGCCCTTAGTCCTCATCGAGTAGGTGGCCACGTGCCCAAGCAACCCGCGGGTCGCTGTCACACTCCCCCGCGCCTCTTCGGGCGACGCATAGCTTGGATACGGCCGGGCTGGTGGCGCGAATTGTCTTTCGTGCATTAGGTTGTTGAGGACCTCAAAATCCCTGCATCGCTCGCTTTGGCTTCTGAGGCAAACCTCTCACTTGCACTACCACAACCCAGGCTTGGTACGCGTGCGAAGGAGCTCATATATCCAGCACACTCCGGATTGCCAAGCACAACCCCGTCTTCCCCCGGCCAGGCAAAACACGTGGTATGCCCCACGAACACACTCGCACGCGCTGTTCCTGGACTGCTCGGGGACGACGCCGCCGGATACACGGACGACCTGTTCCTGCAGGCATCTGCTGCCCTTGCGGTGTGTGTGATTAGGCTGCCGGTCCTTTCCACTCACCTAAGCCATGAAGTTCGCCAGGGAGTTTAGGGAGGCGCTCCGGCGGGAGAACTACCCGCCGCGCTGGGTCGACTCGGCCATCCCCTACGGCCAGCTCAAGAAGTGCCTGAAGAAGGTGCAGCGTGAGCTAGCTGAGCTGGGACTCGACGCCGACACCCTGCGCCAGCTGCTGGCCGCGCATGCCCTCTCGGAGCATGGCGACTCGGTTCCGCTGGCCAGCTACGAGCTCGGAGGTGCGTCTGTCTAGCCTGCTTCGGAAGCTTGCTTTTCTTGCATTGCTGACATTTTCCACGCCCCGCAGCTGGCCCCTCACGTCCCCTGAGGCCTCGCCTGACCGTCTTCATCCATCTTGAGGACGGCGAGGCTGTGGATGCCGCCCTGACCCCAACATCGCGCGAGTTTCTGCAGAAGCTCTCCAGCGGCCAGGTCCCCATCCATCACCATCACCACACAGACTCCGCATCTACCCGCAGCAGCAGCATCTTATCCACACCAACATCTCCCCTCAGCCCTACCTCCAGCGCAAGCGCAAGCCTCGCCAGCGGCGGCCACAGCACCGACAGCGACGAGAGTTCGCCCGATACGCAGGCTGAGCCCGCCAAGGAGACGGAGCGCATCGAGGTGCCGTTGACGTTTGACTGCGAGTTCTTCGACCTGCTCCAGAGCGACGTGTGGCTGCTGGACGCGCTGCAGGATGAGGAGGAGGCAGCCATCTCCAAGCGGATCGCCAGCCTTGGCGAGCAGATGGGCCAGCTGACGCGCCCCGCAAAGTTCCACAAGACGGATCTGAACCGCTGGCGCGAGGTGTTCGAGCTCTACCTCGACGCCCAGGTCTTTTTCTCTACCTGCGAGCGCGACCACGGCGCCCGGACCAGCGCAAAGGCGCTAGAGCAGCTCGTCTGGTTCCAGCGCGAGGTCAACGACCGGGGGCTAATCCAGCAGTTCAAGCTGCCCGCCAGCCGTGACGCCTACACCCGGTTCCTGAACCTGAACTCGGAGCTGCTGCGGAACCTCAAATTCCAGGAGCTCAACCGGGTGGCCGTCGCAAAGATTCTAAAGAGTAAGGTCTTGCTGATTGGAGAGGGTCTGCCTATTGCCGGAAAAGAAAAACAACTAACACGCACCCAGAATTCGACAAGAGGACATCCCTCGGCGTCTCGGGCTCCTTCCCGCAGACCATATCGCGACGGTTCCTGTCCGAGAGCGTGGCCAAGGACTTGTGCGCCCAGGTCTCGAGCCAGGTCGTGTCGACGGTGCCCCGCGTCGACGACTACACGTGCCCCGTCTGCCTGAGCATCGCCTACCTGCCCGTCCGCCTCAAGTGCCGCCACGTTTTTTGCGTCCGCTGCGTCGTCAAGATGCAGCGCGAGTGCAAGCAGCAGTGCCCCATGTGCCGGCAGAAGGTTGTCATGCAGGCTGATTTGAGTATGTGAATTCTTTTCCCCATGCTTTCCTCGCCACGAATAGGGACGCTGACCTGATGGCAGGAAATCTCGACCACGAGCTGGCTCGGTACATGGATCTCTACTTCAAAAAGGAGACCAAGGAGAAGCAAAAGTCCAACGACCTGGAGCGCGGCATTGAGATGTTTGGCGAAAACTACAAGCCAGACTCGTGCCTCGTAATGTAATGTCCTGACCTCGTTTTCTTTTTTCCCCCTTGTCTTAAAATCTAGCTATATTATACCCCGTGCTATGCTTAGTATCCGGTTGCGCAATAAATTCTTCCATCCTACTTATTATATTGGGTGGCGTCTTCCTCTTTCTTTCCCTCTTACGTCCCAGGCTGCGAAGGACGTGTCCTGGGCTGGTTTGGTGGCTACTGTGCGTTTCTCGCATACCCAATCAGATTTCGATAATTTCCAACGCTTCACCTGACTTCTCTGATCGGAAACGATATATTCCGGGGACGCCCAAATGTGGCACGATACAACAAACTACTCAAAAGCACCCGCAAATCTATGTGGTTCTGTCAGGACGACGGGAGCGGCTCGACAGCCTTGAGGGCATCCCTGAAGATAGAAATTTGGTCCGGCGTCTCTCCCAGCCCAACGCTGATCCTGACGAGACTGGAATCGACGCCGAGGCTCTCAGCCCAATCCAGCTCCTGGTAGTGGGCCAGCAGCACGTAGGGCGAGGCGAGGGTGAAGTTGGTCCCCAGGCTGGGCCCCTTTGCGGTGTCGATGGCGTCGTAGAACGTGGCGGCGTCCTCCTTGGAGTGGAAGACGACGGACAGCAGGCCGCCGTAGCCGCCCGACGGCAGGCGGCAGCGCTCGTAGTTGTCGCGGTCCGGGTTGCACTTTGGGTAGTAGACGGCCTTGACGCGTGGGTGGGCCAGGAGCACGTCGCAGATGGCCTCGGCGTTTGCGTTGATGCGGTCGACGCGCGACGCGAAGTCGCGGCTGTTGCGCTCGAGGAAGAGCACGTCCTCGGCCCAGTACGTGTCCTCGTACTCGGCGGCGGCGGCGGCCTTGAGGGCGGCGTAGTAGCGGCCGTCGGGGTTCAGGATGGCGCTCCCGCCCATGACGTTGCAGTCGCCCGAGAAGATCTTGGTCAGGCTGCTGACGACCACGTCGGCGTACTGCAGCACGCTGATGTTTGCAAACGTGCCGATGGTCTCGTCCACCACGACGGCAAAGTCGTAGCGGTCCGCCAGCTGCCGGATGCGCGCGAGGTTGGGGCACGTCAGCAGCGGGTTGCCCGGGAACTCGCAGAAGAGGGCGAGGAACCGTTCGCCGCCCGCGAGCCGCGCCTCGAGTTCGTCGAGCTCGGCCTCGGACGCGCGGCCGTAGAAGACGCAGCCCGGGCCGAACTTTTGCAGGATCTTGAGCGTGTCGACGTAGGGGAAGCCGAACTCGACGCTCTTTTTGCTCCCGCGCGCGGCCAGCAGGAGCCGGTGGGCGTTGAAGATGGCGTTCATGCCGCACGGGTAGAGGTACACGTCCTCCTCGCGCAGGTTCCGGACACCCCTGGTGTTGGACTCCATGGCCGGGAAGGGCTGGCTCGCGATGTCGTGGTCGGCCGAGAGGGCGCCGGCTATCCGCCGCTTGATGGCGGACCGCGCCTGCGGCAGCAGCGAGATGTCGAGGTTCCTGCCGAACCGCTCCTCGAGGAACCGGCCCGTCTCCTCGTCTGACCCCTCCCCGTCCGCGGGCCGCGCGGGCCCGCCGTTCCCGGCCGCCTTGTCGGCAGGGGGCGACGGCTGCCGGGGTGCGTCGACCGACACGGGGCGCTGGTACCGCCGGGGCCCCTTGGCAGGCTTCTGGACGGGTGCCGCCGCCGCGTCCTGGTCGTGGGGGACCAGCAGCCCTGCCGAGTACAACCCGTGGCAGAACTCGGCCCTGCGGCTGGACACGCCGTCACCCGAGTGCTGCCAGTACTCCTTTGCGACGGGGAATGCGGCCGGGACGCACAGCACGGCCGAGACGCAGGGGGCGAGGTCGCGCAGCTGGTCGGCCGGCCTCGCGGCCGGGTCCAGGGCCAGGTGGACCGAGTCGAGGCCGTCGAGGGCCGGCAGGGGGGCGCGCTCCCTCACGAAGCGCACGCAGCGGGCGGCTGCGGCGCGCGTGGGGAACAGCATGGCCTGCTGGCCCGGCCGGCGGCCGAACCGGGCCGCCAGCTCCTCGGCGAAGGTGGCGATGGCCCTGTGGATGAAGAAGCGGGGGTAGCCCGTCGTCATGCGGCCGACCACCCACTGCTCGCCCTCCTCATACCCGACGTTGGACTTCCATGTCGGCAGGGAGACGCTGACTGCCTGTGGGTGTGTGCTGGCTGATGAGCTGCTTGTCCAGTACGGCGTTGGCCCACCTATCCGTTTACTCTGGGCGGGCAAGGCTGACTCACGTGCGCCGTGTCTGGCGGTATCGACGCGCCCAGCTCGAAGTTCAGCATATTGGCTCAGTCCCTGTGACGTTGGAGAACCAAGGGGAATGTGATGGTCTAACCTCCGACCCAGGCTTGTTCGTCAGAGACGATGATTAGCTCCAGCGTATGCACCCTATACTGGGGCAGCTTTAAGTTGCCACGGGCGTCTCCCTAAAAAAAACAACCACAAGAATTATCCTTCAAGCTCAAGGATCGCTGGCCCAGCCCGTGCAGAAGGGCGAGTGACTGACGTCTGCGGGGCCGATGATCGGAGCTTTGTGATTTCCTGTGCAGGGGCAGGTGGCGGCACAGTGGGACCCTAGCTATTGCCGGACTCGGCGGAAAGCTTGACAGCACGTGGAGATGAATGGATATCAGGATGAATGGATATCAGTTGAACCGAGGGTGTACAAAACACCAACCTCTTCAACGTAGTCGAATCTCATATGTACCCCACTGAACATTATATGCGACGTGTCCCACATGAATTAGGGAGAAAGGAATATATTCCCTGCCAGCCACCCCTAGACGACGCTCTGTTCGCGCTCGTCTAGGTTCGGTGGGTTCTTCTGTTAATACTATTCTATACCGTGTGCCTGTCTCACGACCAACCCCTCGTCTACCAAAAAGGGGGCTCTCTCTCTCCATCATGCTGCAGAAAATTGCTGCCCTTCCCATGCATGCACCTTATTGTTAAAGGCCCATAAACTCCAAAATACAATCAATCAGACGGCCCCCGTGAATAATTGCCCCTTCAGATGAGGGTAACGCACGTCCCAAATTCGAACATAGAAATGTCAGCTGCGCAAAAAGAGATGCAAACTTAAAATACGCAAAATAACATGTAAAAGACACATGGGTTATAAGAGATGGAAACAAAATGTCTCGTGGAAAGGTGAACGACAGACAAGAGAAGAGAAGCGATAAAGACAAAAACAACCATCATTAACACACAGTAGCGTCGTCAGATCGTGGGGGCAGCCGCTCCGGACCACAACTAGCGGTAACCCCGGGACTTGCTGCGGGAGTTGCTGCCGACGCAGCTGATGCTATCGTCGGGCGATATGCTGTCCGTGTCGTCGTCGGCGTCCCACCCATTCCGGCTCTTGGGCAGCTCGACCTGTCTCGCCGACACGCGGGTGCCCGCATTGCTGGGCGCATGGCCACGCGAGGGCATCTGGCTGCGGCTAAAAGTCCTCGGCTCGGCCGGGTCTCTCATGGCGCCAGCCGCAACTCGGCTCGAGGTCCGTGGCGCCCTGGCCCCACCAGCCACCTGGTAAGACGCGCTCTCGGGCATCGGCTTCGCCGTCCTGTGGCTGCGAGTCGACACGTAGGTGGCCGCGTCGTTCGGGGCGTCATATGTGCTGCCGCCAACGACCGAAGCGGGGATCGGAATAGAGGCGGGAAACCTAGATCTCCCGTCGATCTCATGCTGGGGCCTTGTCGGGGCGTAGTTGCGAGGCTCGGCCTCGGCAGCATACCTCGTCGGGGCACGACTGCGCGTATCAGCCTCAGCAGCATACCTTGATGGGGCGTGACTCCGAGCATCAGCTTCGACGGCACGTCTAGACGGAGCGTAGCTGCGAGCGTCGGCCTCCATCGGGTGCCTTGAAGGAGCGTAGCTCCGAGCGTCTGCCTCGCCGCCGTACCTCGATCCAACGTGACTACGGTGCTCCGCCTCGGTGAGGAGGAGCTGGGGACCGCGGGCGGCAGAGACCTCTGTGGGGGTGCGCAGGCTGGGAGGAGGAGCTGCCAGCTGGTAGCGAGTCGAGACGCGGCTCCTCGCGTCGTCGTGGCCTGGACCTTGGCTGTATCGAGCCATGTAGGCGGGTGCGGCTCCGGGACCGCTGTCCAGCTGGGGGTACTGCTGGGGGTACTCGAGCTTCTCGACGGTGCGCTCGAGCTCAACGAAGCGGCCGCGGCGGTGGTCCGGGAAGGGATCTGGGTATGTGCTTCGGCGCTGGAAGGCGGGAACATCGATATCCTGGGTGGGCGGCGGGGGGCGTTCGCGGGTTAGCATGCCGTAAGTGACGGCAGCGGCGCCAACCGCGCCAACGGCAGCGCCCAGGAGGCCGGCCATGCCGGTGGTCATGCCGCCCTGGGAGCCTTGGCGCGGCGATCCGGGCGGGTAGGGCGGGTCGATGATAGTGGAAGTGGTGACGCTACGGCGCAGGATGTAGGGGCCCTGGTCCGGAACCGGGACGGTCGAGCCGGCGAAGTGCGAGTGCGGCGAGGCATAGTGGCTTCTCGGGGCGGCGCTGCGGGCAGGGTGCGACGGCTCGGACGGCTGGGCCGAGCTGGCGACGCCGTAGTTCCAGTTCATGATGCGGTTGGCTTCGTTGGTGGACGACTGTGTCTTGTGTATGGGTGCTCCGTCGTAGCTGACGGGCCCAACAACGTGAGGGGCGTAGATGGCTGACATTATATTGTCTCAAGCTGGATAACCCTGGCGCCCGTCGGTGAGTTGGCACCCTGGTCGGGGCGAATCAGCTGTGGGGCCGAAGAGGGGCGTGACGGGCGGTGGCAGCTTTGCCGACGACTCCTTGCTGGGGTGGCTGGCCTTCGAGACGAATGGGTGCAAGTCGCGCACCGCCTGGGCACGAAGGTGCGGTGAGTACAACGGGGAAAGCTTCAGGGGCCGGCCCGTGACCTGGCGGACCTAGAGGACGGGTTGCTGGGGGACACGCCTAACGTGGCTAGGTCTAGGGCTGGAGCTGGAGCTATCGAAGAAGCTGGGCTGGGCTGGGAGCGAGCTCTCGAGGAAAGGGGAGCGACGTGGAGGGGGCAGGGAAAGGGGGGGTACAAGTAGGTATTTCAACCAGAGGGTCAGAAAACCAGAGGGTCAGAAAACCAGAGGGTCAGAAAACTAGAGGGTCAGAAAAGAGGCGAGCGGCGACCAGGACGGACGGGCAAATCATCAGCAGCGCAGCAGCCTCTGCCGTCGCCTCCCTCGCCATTCACGGCGGCCATCACACCCGTCACATCACTCGACGCACGCCGTGCGCTCTGCCGAGAATCGATGGACAGCACAGATCCTCTCCTCAGCAGGCACCGACCGGCCCCTGGGCTGGGAGGGGGGGCGGGAAGGAGGTGCTGTCACTGGGCGAGGTGGCCAAGTGGTGCGTGGGGCGAGCGATGGGGGTTGCAGCCGCCGGGTGGAGGAGTTGGGAGGATCAGCACACCCACGCACCGAGCCAAGAAGCAAACTGGTACCTAGGGGGTGTGGGGAAACGCCCGTGTCGTGGTGTGCGCCGTGTGGGGCGGCGCTGGGTGTTCGTTCGCTCGGGCGACTCACACTTTTGTGCACGTCGCGCTGTCGAGACAGCCCCTCCCGGGGCCGGGAAGGAACGACTGGCTGGGGCCAGGGCTCGAGCAAAGGGCCAGAAGCAAGGGTCCGGATGCTGGAGCCGGTACAGTAGGATGTCTGCCTGCAAAGAAGCAGCCCTGCTGGATCTAATAGGAACAGACTATCGATTGCCTTTTGCCAAAGTGGTCTGGTGTGTCGTGATGACGGGAGTCAGAGTTGGAAGGCGAAAAAGCGCAGAGAACACTCGACAGGTGGGCAGTGGGCAGCGGGGCAGCGGGCAGCCACCACAACCGAAGTTGCAGCACCAGCGCCCAACTCTCGACTCAACCATCCACGCCGCCACGGTCTGGAGATGCCGGATCGGAGATGCCACCAAGAACACCACATGGATGGAGGGGCGTACGTCTCACGTCTAACGAATGGGCCGCCAGCTCGGCCGGCCTCCTGTCCAGTCCCGGCTGCCCCGTCTCACCCGCCCCGGGCGTGCCGACCCAATGGCCCGCCGCCTCAGTGCCACGTATGTCGGGTCGGATGGATGGGCATTGGCACTTGGGTTGTCGTAAAGAGAACATCCCCACCTTCGTGGCATTGGCCGTTTGTGCTTCCGAGTTCCCGTGTTCATTTTTTTGCCAGCCGGTCAACGGCCAGCTCAGGGGCTAGCCAGCCCAGACCTCGTTTTATGCGCCAGCTGTTGCGGCCGTCCATGTCATCGTCCCCTGATCTCAGTCCAGACCGAGGTAGCACCCCCCCCCCCCCCCCCCCC